TTTTTTTCTCAAGCACTAGATTTCTTCACACATTTTTTTTTTCTCACAGATTTGGAAACAATGCTACAAAAAAAAAACTTGCTCGTGAATATATCTATATCTTTCTACCTATTGCAGATATCCATTACTTGGAACCTCCACTGTAACTTTTTAATGACTTACCCACTTTCTGACCCACTTTGAAACACAATAAAGGAATTGGAGATACACAGTTTTCATATATCTTATACCAGAGTAAAGGTAGTACTTGTGATTTTCTTTTATTTCAGCATGGTGGTTTATTTTTTCTCATTCACTCAAAATTCCAAGCTATTCTTCATATTAAATTGCACAAAGGACACGATACTCTTCTCAAATATATTCCTATTGACATATGGGTGCTTTTCTAAAATACTGGCAGGCACTTTGGCAAGATTGGCTGATGATGTTTTTAAGCCTGTTTATTTTTGTCATCTTTAAATATCTTTACATTTTGTAGGAAAATTTAAGTGAGCTGGGGATCAAAGCTAACAGTATTAGAGCCAGTCTATTCAAATATAGATCCAATTAGAAAAAAAATAAAAATCAATAAAATACATATCAATTTACCTCAAGAGTAAAAACTGTTATTCCTCCTCTAACCAATGAAACATAATAAACATTGTGAAACATAATAATAAACATTGTGGAACATTAATTCAACAAAAAATAACTTATAAGCTATATTCAGCATCTACTTACCTTTTTCTTACGTAAAGCCAGTTCTTCCTCTATTGACCTATGGGCCATCCAATCTATTCCTGATTCAGATCGTCCAGGCCGTTCTGTCCAGGCTACCTTTAGTCCACCTCCAAGGAACTGCACATGTCTCTTTACATCTTCTAGTTTTGACAAATCATTTCTTTTAGCCCTGACACGATGTGTCCTTAACGGGTGATTACCCTTTGCACCTTGACCGTCACCCCTCAACTTTCTGACCTTTATTCTCGGTTTACTCTTAATAGCACGAAGTGCATCTTTGTTACCAGTCTTCACTTCACGTATCAATGCACGAGAATGTCTAATACGCTGACGCTTTACGATACCGAATTCTTCTTCTTCCCCTTGATCATCTATAAACACAGTCTGGTTCTTCCCCTTCTTCTTTTTCTGTCTTTTATTGATTTGGCTTGGGGTGAGCTTCCGTTCTTCTTTCTTTACTGGGCTATCCACGATCTTCTTCTTTTTCTTTTGCATTTTCTTTCTTTCTTTCTCTGAGTCTCTCCATTTCTCTGTACCTTTCTTTCTCTCTTTACATTTTTTTCTCTTCAATTTTCTCTTTTCCAATGCCTTTTTTGCCTTCTCTTCCTCTGCCTGTTTCACTTTTTGTTTTTCAGCCCTCTTGATTTCCCTTAACACTTGCCAGGTATAATCCTTTGGAGTATGGATATTTCTGGGACCTCTTGGCTGAGGGCCTGCCATGATGTCTGCACTGTATTTGCTAATTCTATCTTTGTTTCTTCTGGTGGTTTATAATTTCAAGCTATTAAATCTGGCAGCTGCAAAAATGGTAAAGAAATCACTTGAAAAATGGAGAAAACAGAAAGCTAACAATAAAAAAAGTGAAATTAATCAGTATTTCATCTACCTCATATGTCATGACAAAAGAAAATAAAGCAGACACAGTTAGCAAGTGGATTTGTCAACTTTTACCAAAGCCCAAAATGTACAAAGGCTTTACTGTCTGCCTCAAAACCCCCTACAAAGCTACTGCTTCTACACCTGCTGCCTAGAGAGCAAAATCTCAACCACATCTGCCCAGCACATATCCAAATTACATGCTCTGACTGACTTCACAACCCAGCTCAGTCAGAAGCTCCAATAGGTAAACTTCCCAAACTTTGTGCTAAATTCTAAGTTATTCATATTGTGGGCATTTTCTGCTATTCATATTAGACTTATTCATCAATTCTACTGACTAGTAGTTTTTTTTTTCAGACATAGGATATTCATCAATTCTGCTAACTAGTAGTTATATTTGGGGTATTTTTATTGAATACCTTAGCATAACCCATGGCAATGATTTTGGTATCAGTGAATTCCTCAGACTTCTACTATCCAAATATATCAAAAGCATGTTGTGGAAACCCCCATTAGCAACAATCTTACCTCTGATAACAGAAGAGGACATGAAAGTTACCAGGGAAATTCCAGGGTAAAATACGAATAATATATACAGAATTATCACTATATTGTCTAATACAGGGGGTTGTGCCCCCTGCTACCCCCCATACTGGGGGATTACTACCCCCCAACCCCTACAATGGAATATGAAGAACCGTCAACATATTCTTGACAGGGTAGAAGTGTACGACCGACATGCAGGAGCAACTGATGCTGAGTCTGTCTGACACTCTCCTGCCATGAATACCTGGAGAACATTTTGTTTTCCTGGGCAGGAGTCACGGGGATCAATATGGTGACCAATTCTGTGTATATTATTCATATGTTACCCAGCAATTTCCCTAGTATCTTTCATGCCCTCCCCTGTTATCATAGCCAAGAATATGGGTGTTTGGGGGGGTTCTGCAGTATAATTACTACATATATGTGTACTAGAGAGTGAGAGAAATATGCAAAGGTATTCTGTAAATAAAAATATTTTGACATTTTTTTCTAATACATCCACAAAATGGTTTGCGTTGATTTCCATATTGTTGGATTACTCCTATTGTCTACATTCTTGACCCTGATAGCAGGGAAATACGGGGCAAAATGTAAATGATGCATACAGAATCATTATACTGTTTAAGGCAGGGGGGCTGTGCCCCCTGCATTCCACCCATGGGGTGATTACTGCCCCCAACCCCAACTCAGCAAAACAAAGAATCCTCCATGTGTTCACAGCAGGTGAGAGCGTACAATTGCCATGCCAGAGCAGCGTTGCCAAATCTGTCTGACCCTCTGCCCTGCTGTGAATAGATGGAGGATTCTTTGTTTTCCTGGGTGGGGGTTGGTGGGCAGCAGCTCCCTATGAGGGGGTTGCAGGGGGCATAGATCCCTCCATTAAACAATATAGTGACTGATTCTGTGTATATTATTTGCATTTTACCTTGCAATTTCCGGTACAGGTCCAGTTTCATCCAGCCTTCCACTGCTATCGGGATCAAGAAAGTGAGGGTTTGGGGGTTTTCAAAGCAGTAATATAGCTTTTCGACACCAATTGAGCCCACTGACCCCATATTTGGTAGATATGAAGATGCAAAACTATCTTAGTATGGTATTTGTTACAGAGAATGACACACCCTTCCCGAGACTAAGTCGAAAAAAATTGATGTTTTTCTGCAGGAAATCCAATGATTTCATTGATTCTTGGCATTGTTTCTTGTGTGAATTAATAATTCAGGAGATTGAGTACCTTTTCTCCATCAACGATCTTGATTTGTTAGTCCCGTTAGCTGGGGAGGGCATGAAGTATATCAGGGAAATTATGGGGTAAAACAGGCTTAAATAAGAATAATAATGAAGAAGTTTCAGACTGTATAATTTGGTCCATGCGGGGAATGTGTTCCCCACACAAAAATTATTTGTTCAAATTCTGCCCTCACAAATGTAGTTCTCCAGTAACTTTCTGTGCACGCTTAGTTCTTTTTTACATCATCTTCCATGCATAAAATTTTTCTGACCTTTCCGCGCACTTGTTTCATCATCCATTGGCAGATTAGCTCTGTTTTATGCCAGGTATATAGATTGGTACTGAGATGATGACTCTTTATTTTTTATGGTTTACAGGGAGAATGTAAAATGTGAAAGTGAAAGTGAATGCCAATGCGCCAATCTAGGATGCATACAATTCTACTATGCTGGGGATCCCCTGCAAAGCATTACATGATTTCCACAAAGGCTCAGATCTATTAACAACTGACTCCTAAATATTGACAATCCCTGTTACCATATTAACCCTATCTTCAAGATAGGTATTCAAAAAAGAACTGCCAGATGTAGACAAAATGATGTTCTACAAGCTTGAAAAAATATAGTATTCCCCATGCATGAAAAATATTCTACAGTCTGGAAGACGTTGCTGAACTTGAATTTGAATGGCACCCACATTATGCAATATCATGTTCCATTTCATATACAACATTCCATTTCGCAAAATGGAGTTCCTTTACGTGTTTTCCCTACAGCGATTAAACTATGTTCTATCCCACTGCATTTCTTCCTCTCTATGAGATGGCAGTTTCATTTCCCTCTATATACGCATAGGTATCTTTAACTTAAGTAATTTTCTATATTACGTCCGCATAACCGATATCGACGATTTTGGTATCGTTGGATTCCTCTCACTTTATACAATGCAAATATGTAGGTTTTATTGCGCGGAAACCCCTTGTTAGCGATAAACTTGGCGACGATGTCGGAGCGGCGGACGTAATATATGAAATTACCCTAATAATATAACCTCACAGTGAAAATAATCATGATTATTCACATGACTTTCCATTGCAGGGGGCTCTATCCTGCGACCCCCCCTGGGGGGGCTGCCGCCCCCCAACCCCCGCCAAGGAAACAATACCTCCACCACGTATTCACGGCAGGATAGAGCACGCACGAACTTGATGCGGAGCCGATAACCTACAATAACCTAGGATTTTTAAGGTACAAACCTGATTGATTAATGCCGCTAATTAGTAGGGAGGGTGCTCCTTTGCCGCAGAATGTGAAGGAGGTCCAGACGTGCTGGCTGCCCGCACCTGCCGCAGGCTTTCTCCCGACGGAGGAGGCCGTGGGGGAAGCACATCTCTAGCATTTTTTCCTTGCTAGTTGCAATTTTGCGCAGAAAAACCGTCTCCGAATACGAGCACCCTCCACACTCGGCCATCGCGGTGGCTATGACTGACTTCTGAACGCAACGGTTATTTCGGTTAGGAATACGGATGTCGTTATTCCAGAGGACGGGAAACTCGACCTTGAGTCCATCGGTGTAACATCGAGAGAGGCGCAAAACCCGCCGACGAGGGCGGGCCAACCTGTTCTTCCTGATTATACTACAATCGTCTCTATATACAGTGCTGACTATGCCAAGGTTAATATGCTAATTCAGTGGGAATCTTACGAGGTAATTGTAATATTACGCCCGCTGTTCCAACATCGACGACGATTGTGTAAGCTCTAGCCTACCGGGAATACGTGGTGGAGGTTATGTTTCCTCGGCGGGGGTTGGGGGGTGGCAGCCCCCCTCCCAGGGGGGTCGCATGGGGCACAGCCCCCTGCAATGGAAAGTTATGTGAATAACCATGGTTATTTTCACAGTGCGTTATATTATTAGTGCTATTTAACCCCGCATTTTCCCTGGAACCTTTCATGCCCTCCCCTGCTATCGGGGCCAAGTTTGTCGCTAACGGGAGGTTTCCGCGCAATTAAAACTATATATTTACAATGTGGAGAGTGAGAGGAATCCAACGATACCAAAATCGTCGATATCGGTTATACGGACGTAATATAGAAAATTACCTTAACTTATACCCCCTTAGAATTTCACCTTTGCTTCATTGACGGCGTGTGGGAGAGAGCATGGGGAAAGGAGACCAGAGCGGAGTATTCCCTAGTATTCTTCGTGTGATGTAAGCAATAACCTCATCTATATACGGTCTGTTTCTAAGAGTAAATACCCTGACCTAATTCGCCAACATATGCCTATGATGTCGAAAGTCTTCAGCTATTTCATTCGTTAATTGTATCAAAACAAACTAAAAAATGTATGTATCTAAAGCCAAAAAACTAATTTACCTTACATAGTTCGTTTATCAGAAAAGTTATTTTTCTTCTTGATGTTTCATAGTTTCCTGCAGATTTCCTTCTTTATTCTGCTTCTTTTATAGGGTTTTAATCTCCTTTCTTCGCTATTCTTCCTTACTTGTGAAATTTCCTCCCAGTTGCCCCACTTGTAGAAACCAACCAAAACAATCTCACATGCTTTGAGAATCCGCGAACGCCTTTTTGCGAGAAGAACGTTCTTTTAAACTTTGGGGAACGTTCTTTTAATCTTTCATTCATTAAACCAAAGGAATATTTTTTCCTCTTATACTTTACAATAAGATTTATATACATTTTCTAGAACAACTAATAATATTATCTTCAAATGATAATTAAATCACAAATTTTACAAAAATCGACGAAATAATCCAAACACGGCAATATTCACCTTAAATTCGTCTGGTGTAACACAATTTCAACGGAATATTTTTTTTCGCAAATGGACGTTCTAGTCTCATTTACAATATGATT